AGACAGAGTTTCGCTCTTGTTGCCCAGGCTGGAGTACAATGGTGTGATCTTGGCTCACTGCAACCTCCGCCTCCTGGGTTCAAGCAATTCTCCTGCCTTAGCCTCCCAGGTAGCTGGAATTACAGGCATGCGCCACCACGCCTGGCTAATTTTGTATTTTTAGTAGAGATGGGTTTCTCCACGTTGGTCAGGCTGGTTTCGAACTCCTGACCTCGTGATCTGCCCGCCTCGGCCTCCCAAAGTGCTGGGATTACCTGGGATTATAGGAGCGAGCCACCGTGCCCAGCCTTTTTTTTTTTTTGAGATGGAATCTTGCTCTGTCACCAGGCTAGAGTTCAGTGGTGCGATCTTGGCTCACTGCAACCTCCTCTGATTCCCCGGTTCAAGCGATTCTCCTACCTCAGCCTCCCGAGTAGCTGGGATTACAGGCATGTGCCACCGTGCCCAGCTAATTTTTCTATTTTTAGTAGAGACGGAGTTTCACTGTGTTGGCCAGGATGGTCTCAATCTCCTGACATCGTGATCCGCCTGCCTCGGCCTCCCAAAGTGTTGGGATTACAGGCATGAGCCACCTCGCCTGGCCAACACTTTTAACATCTATTATTTCTGGTCAGATTAAATGATGTACTTTTTTTTTTTTTTTTTTTAGTAGATGCTCAATATTTGTTTAATGAACAAATTTATAAGCCTCTGCTTTATGGATGAAGATCCTGAGGCTCCCAGGGGACAGCTCACTTGCTGCCAGCCACGTAGTCAGCAGGTGGCTTCAGGGCTGGTGCTTTTCACCTCTGTATTACATTGCCCCTCCACCTTCAGCATGCAGCTTGATATTTATGTAAAATTAAAATTACAGAAACCATGCTCTTTATTTTTCCCACTTTTTGGAGAAAGAAATATACCAGTCTTTAAGTGGTTATGTTAAAATGGAATAAAACAATTTCCATGGTTTTATTTGGATTGGCAGGTGATTCATCCTAAAACTGATGAACAGAGATGCAGACTTCAGGAAGCTTGCAAAGATATTCTCCTTTTCAAAAATCTCGATCAGGTAACATTGATTTCTAAAGTATTTTTATTATAATGATCTTTTAGCTTTGCTCCTATTTGTCACTTAAACTTTAATCTTTAGCATCCTAACCATAGCTGTATTAAGCATAAACCTTAGATTCATCTTACATACAAATGTTTCATTGTATTGACCACTTTAACCCAGACATGATCTTTTAGATGCCTTTTAGTGCAGTAGTCCCCCTTATCCTTGGTTTTTGCTTTCCAGGGTTTCAGTTACCCATAGTCAACAACAGCCCAAAAATACTAAATGGAGAATTCCAGAAATAATTCCTAAGTTTTAAAAGGCATGCCGTTCCAAGTAGTGTGATGAATCTCATGCTGTTCTGCTCTGCTGCCACCTAGAACACAAATCATCACTTTATCCCAGTGTATTCATGCCATATATGCCACCTGCCCATTAGTCACTTAGTCACCATCTAGCAGTACTCATATTCACGTAACCCTTATTTTACTTAATAATGGCCCCAAAGCACAAGAGAAGCAATGCTGGCAATTCGGATATGCCAAAAAGAAGCCATAAAATGCTTCCTTTAAGTGAAAAGATGAGAGAAATTTAAGGAAAGAAAAGAAGAAAGAGAGAGAGAGAAAAGAAAGAAAAGAAAGGGTGAGATAGGAAGAGGGAGAGAGAGAAGGGAAGAGAGAAAGAAAGGAAAGGAAGGGAGAGAGGGAGGGTGGGAGAAAGAAATTGTATACCGAGGTTGCAGAGATCTATGGTAAGAATGAATCTTCTGGCTGAGTGCGGTGGCTCATGCCTGTAATCCTAGCACTCTGGGAGGCTGAGGTGGGTGGAGTTCAAGACCAGCCTGGCCAACATAGTGAAATTCCGTCTCTACTAAAAATACAAAAATTAGCCAGGTGTGGTAGTGTGCACCTGTAATCCCAGCTACTTAGGAGGCTGAGGCAGGAGAACTGCTTGAATCCAGGAGGCGGAGGTTGCAGTGAGCTGAGATCACACCATTGCACTCCAGTCTGGGTGACAGAGCAAGACTCCATCTCAAAATCAAAAAAAAAAAAAAAAGAAAATATAAGAATGAATCTTCTATCTGTAAAACTGTGAAGAAGGAAAAAGAAATTTCTGCTAGTTTTGCTGTCGCACCTCAAACTGCACAAGTTACAGCCACAGTGCGTGTTAAGTATTTGGTTAAGATGGAAAAGGCATTACATTTGTGGGTGGAAGATACGAACAGAAATGTTTTCCAATTGACAGCAATGGGGTTCAACACTATCTGTGGTTTCAGACATCCACATATCCCCTTGGAACATATTCCCCATGGATAAGGGGAGGACTGCTGTATTTTTCTGAGCTGCTTTGGCACTTTCTCCAAGACAAAACTGATAATTTGAAGAGCATGCAATTTTGTCATGTTGCAAGGAAATACTCAGATTTGCATGACCCTGGTTTAGTTTGGAGGTCTGAATTTATCCTACAAAGAGATTGATTTTTCTGAAGATGCTGGTATGTAGTTCCCTTCATTGATAATAGTTAACCCACTGGCTTACCACAGTATGTGATAAGTGCTTCTTGAGAATGGTGTGTTTCTGCAGGGCCTAGCATAGGATCTGTGACCTGGGCCTGTCCTCCCTGTCTTGGTGGTAGAAGTAAAGAACAAGGGCTATCTCCTAATGGGTGTCCTGGTACATTTGGGCTGCTGTAACAAAATACCATAACCTGGGTAGTTTATAAACAGTGGAAATTTCTCACAGTTCTGGAGTCTGGGAAATCCAAGCTCAAGGTGCCAGCAGATTTGGTGTCTGACCAGGAACCCACTTCCTGGTTCATAGATGACCATCTCTGAATCACATGCAGTAAGTACTTCAACATTGTTGGTAGTGTTGGAAACTGTAACTTTAAGCAAAACAACCTATAATGGAACCTTTTTTTTTCCTTCATCAGTGTTATAACTGTGTTATTTGAGGACCTTCTATACATTGTTTTGCTTATAGTCACAGTTTTCAAGAACCTATCAACCACTTTAAGTGAGGACTTACTGTGTTTCGTTTGGTTGTCATGTTGTTATTTTAGTCTCCTCTAACCTAGAAATGCTCCCCTTCCACCCCTTTTATTCTATATCTCATGACACATGTGTTTGAAGAGTACAGACTAGAAGAAGAAAAGTGACACAGAACAAGAGGCTTCCAGCAGGCAATCGACAGGCTAGGTACAGATGTCTGTGTTTGTTCTGTATTGTACATGAAAATTTAAATTTATTGCCAGCATTTAAATAGGAGATTTCTGGCAACGCTGGGCTCACATTCCAGTGAATGTGGGTAACGCGTCAATTGCAAGCCATCCTTTTTAGTATTTGTGAGCTTACACAGTATTCAACTCACATGGAACTAAAGATACTTTTTGGTGATACTCAATTATCGTAGTAGTACAGTCACTCTGATAGAACATAAACTCACCTGGAATTATGCAGTCATAAAATTATTCTTTTTCCAGGTCTTCAGTCTACATTCCTCCAAAGAGAAAGTCTCTTTTTTTAATTGAACCTGGTATTCTTTAGTGACTCCCTAATAATCACTGATCTCCCTGTCTGACAGGGATGCTGGCCCTAGACTGAGACCATTGTTTCATAGAATTTAATAGTATTATTTTCTTTTCATTATACTTATTGACATGGTTGATGTCTGGTTATGGCAGGCAATAGTAGTAAGTAATTGTATGTGCTGTATGCAAATGAAGCAATATTAGCTGTCTTATAATAGATCTCATTTATTGAGTATCTGTTGTTTCGTAAATACTTCCTAGGTTTTTCTCCTTTGGTCATAAAAATTGATGACCTGGAATCTTTGTTATACCCTTTTTGAAACTGAAGTTCACTGGGCGTGGTGGCTCACGCCTGTAATTCTAGCACTTTGGGAAGCCAAGGTGGGTGGATCACATGAGGTCAGGAGTTTGAGACCTGCCTGGCCAACATGGCAGAACCCCATCTCTACTAAAAATATAAAAATTAGCCAGGCGTGATGGTGCAGGCCTGTAGTCCCAGCTACTCAGGCAGCTGAGGCAGGAGAATTGCTTGAACTCAGGAGGTAGAGGTTGCGGTGAGCTGAGATCACACCACTGAACTCCAGCCTGGGCAACAGAGTGAGACTCTGTCTCTAGAAAAAAAGAAAAAAAAAGATACTGAAGCTCAGCGAGGTTAAGTGACGTATTTTGCTAGTCAAAAGCAGTTGTGCTATTCCAAAAGATAACCTCTAAGCCACAGCAGTCCTTTAGATCTGATGATCCTGTTAAGATCAACACCTGTAGGAAGGTGGCAGCATATGGCTTTACACGTAACATAGTGGAACCATCAGGCAGGTGATAGTCAATATTTTTGCGTAAATTGTGGGAAGCTTTTTCAAAACAATACTGCCTCAGAAGACTTGCCAATTTGCTGTCTGCTGAGGTACATGGAGGTGCAAAGCTGAATGGTCCCAGGAAAGCATTTGTTTCAGACAACCTTTAGGTTTCTGTTTGAATGTGGGGACTTCTGTTATATAGTCACAAATTGAGATAATTATGGTCACTGCTTTTTTGCAGCATATGTAAGGCTATTTTTCCTTCTTGTGCATACCCTGCAGGAACAACTTTCTCAAGTTCTTGATGCCATGTTTGAAAGGATAGTCAAAGCTGATGAGCATGTCATTGACCAAGGAGATGATGGAGACAACTTTTATGTCATAGAACGGTAGGAGATGGAGCTTTGAAATGGTGTGGCCACACTTAATCGGATTCATGAATCAGTGCAGATGCTTTATCCTATTCTGTATTCAGCCCAGAGAGGCTTAGGGCCAAGTGAAAAAGCTTCCCAAAGCCTTGTGAGAGTCCACAGCTTGTCCCTCTCTACCAGTGCTGTCCTGAGTCCTCAGCACAACTCATATTTGAAGAGCAATCATCTAGAGTGGAAAGTCTCCTTTAGGCCAGATGCGGTGGCTCACGCCTGTAATCCCAGTACTCTGGGAGGCCAAGGCCAGTGGATCACTTGAGGTGAGGGGTTCGAGACCAGCCTGGCCAATATGGTGAAACCCCGTATCTACTAAAAATACAAAAATTAGCTGGATGTGGCGGTGCATGCCTATAATCCCAGCTGCTTGGGAGGCTGAGGCTGGAGGATCGCTTGAACCCAGGAGGCGAAGGTTGTTGCAGTGAGCTGAGACCCCACCACTGCACTCCAGCTGGGCAACAGAGCAAGACTCTGTCTCAAAAAAAAAAAAGAAAAAAGAAAGTCTTCTTTACAGTTAGTTAAAGAGTGCAGGATGTGCTTTATAAACATGTTATTTGCCAGTGTCAAGTGAATTGATTCCCTGAAGAATTAGCCATGGTGCTATAGTTGTTTGAATCTTCATATTCGAGCCTGATTTTACTCATTAATATGCTGCCCTGACCTTAACCCCTCTGGCTCAGATGTAAGTATTAGGAAAAAATGAAATATTTGGGCTTGGCCTGCTCACCTTACTGTGTCCTAACCTCTTGAGCTTAATATCCTCTTTGGCTGGCAGTGAGGTAGGTATCCTGATCCCCTTAGTCCTGAAAGAAACACTCTCATTAAGAGTTTAACATCAATAAGATATTGCTTCACCTGATATCTTCCATTAATTTAAAAATAAAATGGTTTTTGGAGCTAGATAATAAAAAGGAAACAAAAATAATTTTTTTATCTCGAAGTAATTTCAGAGTTACAGAAAAGTTAAACAAATAGTACAAAAAATGTTACAGAAAAGTTAAACAAATAGTACAAAAAATGTATCACAGGCCTGGTGCAGTGACTCATGCCTGTAATCCCAGCACTTTGAGAGGCTGAGGCAGTTCGAGGTCTGGAGTTCGAGACCAGCCTGGCCAATGTGGTGAAAGTCCATCTCTACTAAAAAAAAAAATACAAAAATTTCCCAGGCACAGTGGCTCATGCCTGTAATCCCAGCACTTTGGGAGGCCGAGGCGGGTGGATCACGAGGTCAGGAGTTCAAGACCAGCCTGGCCAACATAGTGAAACCCTGTCTCTACTAAAAATACAAAAATTAGCTGGGCATGGTGGTGCACGCCTGTAGTCCCAGCTACTCGGGAAGCTGAGGCAGGAGAATCGTGTGAACCCGGGAGGCAGAGGCTGCAGCAAGCTGAGATCACCCCACTGCACACCAGCCTGGGCAACAGTGTGAAACTTTGTCTCAAAAACAAAAACAAAAATTAGTTGGACATGGTGGTGTGTGCCTGTAATCACAGCTACTTGGGAGGCTTAGGCAGGAGAATCGCTTGAACCTGGGAGGGGGAGGTTACAGTGAGCCGAGATAGTGCCACTGCACTCTAGCCTGGGTGAGAGTGAGACCGGTCTCAAAAAAAAAAAGAAAAAAAAATTGTAAATACAGGTTCCCCAGGTTAGTGTTCTCCCTTTGCTTCATTAAATTGTTGACGAGGAAGGGCGCGGTGGCTCACGCCTGTAATCCCAGCATTTTGGGAGGCTGAGGTGGGTAGATCACTTGAGGTCAGGAGTTCGAAACCAGCCTGGCCAACGTGGTGAAACCCCAGCTCTACTAAAAATACAAAAAATTAGCCGGGCGTGGTGGCGGCGCCTATAGTCCCAGCTACTAGGGAGGCTGAGGCAGGAGAATGGTGGGAACCCAGGAGGCGGAACTTGCAGTGAGCTGAGATCGCACCACTGCACTCCAGCCTGGGAGACAGAGCGAAACTCCGATCTCTACTAAAAATACAAAAAATTAGCCGGGCGTGGTGGCGGCGCCTATAGTCCCAGCTACTAGGGAGGCTGAGGCAGGAGAATGGTGGGAACCCAGGAGGCGGAACTTGCAGTGAGCTGAGATCGCACCACTGCACTCCAGCCTGGGAGACAGAGCGAAACTCCGTCTCAAAAAAAAAAAAAAAAATTGAGCACGCCTGTGGTCCCAGCTACTTGGGAGGCTGAGGCAGGAGAATCACTTGAACCCACAAGGCAGAGGTTGCCTTGAGCTGAGATTGTGCCATTGCACTCCAGCCTGGGTGACAGAGTGAGACTTCGTCCCTACCACTACCAAAAAAAAAGTTGTTGGAGAGTAAATTGCAGATATAATGCCCCTTTATCTCTGAATACCCCAGTGTGCATTTCCTAAAAAGGATATTCTCTTACTTTAGTACAGAACAATTATAAAAAACACAAATTAACATTTATACAATACTACATATAGTATATGCACCTTATTCAAATTTTTCTAATTCTCCTCGTTTTTAAAATTCTTTTAATCTCCATCAAATAGCTGTGCTAGATTCATTGGTTGCCTTTCTTCTTGAGCCTTTTCTTATTTAGATTCTTGAACAGGAAATGCTGTCCCTCCTTGAGTAACCTTTGGGTTCTTGCTACCTGTGACAAATTGTTACACTTAAAGGAAATGTTTTCTTTACTCTAAATGCTGATTTAGAGTAAAGATGACATAAATAATATCTTCTCAGAGAACAGACTTTTGTCTTCATCTTTTATACTAATACTTCTTACACAGAAATTCTACAAGTAATGACAGAATAGGTTTTCTTGTTTTGTTTTGTTTTTTAGGGGAACAGAGTCTTACTCTGTCGCAAGGCTGGAGTGCAGTGGCACGGTCTCGGCTCACTGCAACCCCCGCCTCCCAGGCTTAAGTGATTCTCCTGCTTCAGCATCCTGAGTAGCTGGTACTACAGGTGTGCGCCACCACGCCCAGCTAATTTTTGTATTTTTAGTAGAGACAGGGTTTCACCATGTTGGCCACGATGATCTCGATCTCCTGACCTCGTGATCCACCCACCTCAGCCTCCCAAAGTGCTGAGATTACGGGCATGAGCCACTGCACCCGGCCCAGAATAGTTTTAAAATAAAATTATAAATATAATATAAAACTGTATTTATTTTATTTTATTTATTTATTTATTTTGAGATAGAGTCTTGCTCTGTTGCACAGGCTGGAGTGTAGTGGTGCAGTCCTGGCTAACTACAACCTCCACCTCCCGCATTCAAATGATTCTCCTGCCATAGCCTCCTGAGTAGCTGGGATTACAGGCACCTGCCACCACTCCCAGCTAATTTTTGTATTTTAGTAGAGACGGGGTTGGCCAGGCTGGTCTTGAACTCCTGACCTCAAGAGATCCACCTGCCTCAGCCTCCCAAAGTGCTGGGATTACAGGTGTGAACCACCCCATGCCAGGTCTATTTTTATAATATAATAAAATTATATTACCACCTCAAGCAGCCACCTTTCCCCTTTGCCTTGCCATGTCCTCCACCACCATGACAGAGGTCCCATTGGGCACTTATGGTCTGAGAAATAAGCATCCACCTGTACATGTCCACAACTTAAAGACTGAAATACCTTTGTACAGAGGGAATGATTTATTTCATATGCAAACAAAAGGGATTATTCTTTGTACAGTGAAAGTGGTGAATAAGGGCCTGGCACAGTGATTCACACCTGCAATCCCAGCACTTTGGGAGGCCAAGGTGGGAGGATTGCCTGAGCCCAGAGCAAGATAGTGAAACCTTATCTCTACAAAACATTTTTTTAGGCTGGGCACGGTGGCTCACGCCTGTAATTCCAGCACTTTAGAAGGCCCAGGTGGGCAGAGCACTTGAGGTCAGGAGTTTGAGACCAGCTTGGCCAACATGGCGAAACCTCGTCTCTACTAAAAATACAAAAAATTAGCTGGATGTGGTGGCGGGCACCTGTAATCCCAGCTACTTGGGAGGTTGAGGCAGGAGAATTGCTTCAACCTGGGAGATGGAGGTTGCAGTGAGCCGAGATCATGCCATTGCATTCCAGCCTGGGCAACAATAGTGAAATTCCATCTCAAAAAAAAAATGCAGGCCGGGCGCCTGTAATCCCAGCACTTTGGGAGGCTGAGGTGGGCAGATCACAAGGTCAAGATGTCGAGAATATCCTGGCTGACATGGTGAAACCCCATCTCTACTAAAAATAAAAAAATTAGCTGAGCATGGTGACATGCACCTGTAGTCCCAGCTACTCGGGAGGCTGAGGCAGGAGAATAAATTGAACCCGGGAGGCAGAGGTTGCAGTGAGCGGAGATCATGCCACTGTACTCCAGGCTGGGTGACAGAGCGGGACTCTGTCTCAAAAAAACAAAACAAAATCGCACAAAAAACCATTTTTTAAGAAATTATCCAGGCATGGTGGTGCATGCCTGTAGTCCCCAGCTAATTGGAAGGCTGAGGTGGGAGGATCACTAGATCCCAAGAGGTTGAGTCTCCAGTGGGCAGTGATCATAACACTGCACTCTAGCCTGGGGAACAAAATGAGACCCTGTCTCAGAATAAAAAGAAAAGAAAAAAGAATGTGGTGATGAACAAATAGGAAAGGGCTGAGCACAGTGGCTCACACCTGTAATCCCAGCACTTTTGGAGGCCGATATGGATTACTTGAGGCCAGGAGTCCAAGACTAACCTGGGCAACATAGTGAGACCCCTGTCTCTACGAAACAATAAAGAAAGACTGTCGTTCAAGTGAAAAGGTACAGTTCCTGGCCTCAAAAAGTTCATGGTCAAGTTGGAGAGACAGACCTTTCAATAGATAATTATTACATAATGTGGTGGTAACAACAATGATAAAAACATAGGCCCCGTTATTTAGAGGAGGACCTGAATGGGAAAGGTCAAGAGAGGCTCTCTGCAGTGCTGCTGCCTGAAATGAGTTCATGTCACTCCCAAAGTTAAATGCTAGTGTCTGGAGGAGACACTAAAAACACTGAATTTCATGTTTCGTATTTATAACCTTATTTTACCTTGTCTGTAAAGGCCTAGGACAGGTCAGCTTCCCTACTGAGTGGTAAGCTCCCCTGAAAGCAGGGTTGGTGGCACATTCTCTGCTTTTCTTTTAATACGTGATATTTAGTGATTTTATCAGACAGATGGAAGTTCTTTGTAGGAAATTTAGAATATAAAAAAATAAAAAGGCCAGGTGCGGTGGCTCACACTTGTAATCCCAGCACTTCGGAAGGCCGAGGCGGGTGGATCACAAGATCAGGAGATCGAGACCATCCTGGCTAACACGGTGAAACCCTATCTCTACTAAAAATACAAAAAATTAGCCGGGCATGGTGGCAGGTGCCTGTAATCCCAGCTACTTGGGAGGCTGAGGCAGTAGAATGGCGTGAACCCGGGAGGCGGAGCTTGTAGTGAGCTGAGATTGCGCCACTGCACTCCAGCCTGGGCAACAGGGCAAGACTCTGACTCAAAAATAAATAAATAAATAAATAAAATACAAACCGGATAGAAATTAATTTAGGCATAATCTGATTACCAGTATATGATTCCATTATTTTTTCCATGCTTTACTGTTGAGATCAGATACCTCACCCAAAATTTGGTTAAGATGTCAAGACTGATGATACACTAAAAGGGTATGAAAAGGTTTATTACTCACATGTTGAGCCATTTTAGAGCAGGGCAGGCTCCCAGACGGATCCAAAAATGACTTTAGATAGCAGGCAAGGTGACTGTCTTGGGATTTATGGTGATTAGAAGGTGAGATTAGGTGAGGGTACTCTTACACAGGGGCTGGCATTTGTGTTGATTGAACTCCCCATCAGCACCAAAGGAGGGAGCACCCAGGCTTTCTTATTAGCTTGCCCAGATGTGGGGCAGAAGAGGAAGGGTTTGAAAGCTGTCAACAATCAAACATCAAAAATGGAGTCGACTAATGGAGTTATCTTTACATACTTTTTTTTTGTATTAAATCATACATTGTTGTGTGATTTAATTTTTTTAAATCTGTTTTAAGCATGTCAGGGATTATAGTATTATTCTGTTACTATTATTATTATTTTGAGATAGAGTCTCACTCTGCCGCCCAGGCTGGAGTGCAATGGTGTGATCTCGGCTCACTATAACCTCTGCCTCCCAAGTTCAAGTGATTCTCCTGCCTCAGCCTCCTGAGTAGCTGGGATTACAGGCACATGCCACCATGCCCAGCTAATTTTTGTATTTTTAGTAGAGACAGAGTTTTACCATGTTGGCCAGGCTGGTCTCAAACTCCTGACCTCAGGTGATGTGTCTGCCTCAGCCTCCCAAGGTGCTGGGACTACAGGTGAGCCACTGTGCAGCCATACTCTGTCATTATTATTTTATATACAGACATGAGCCACCACACCTGGCCTCTGTCATTATTTTTAATGACTGTAATATAGATAGAAGCATGTATTTGACCCATCTCCTATTATTAGCAGATGAAATTACTTATAGTTTTTACTATTATAAATATTACCTGGTGAAATCCCTGCAATTAAACCTTTTGCAGTATCTTTGATTGTCTCTTTTGGAATGACTGGAAATGGAATTGCTGTATCAAAGGGTCTTTTTAAGGCGTTTGCTATATGTTTTAATTATCTTGCAGAAACTGAAAAGTTTATGTTTCCCTCAGTGGTATGTTGAAAGTGCCTATTTCTGCAAATGCTTGTCAGTTCTGAATTTTTTGTTTTTTTAGCAATTATTGCCAATCAATAGATAAATAATTGTATCGTTTGCATTTTTTTTTTTTTTTTTTTGAGGCAGAGCCTCTCTCTGTCGCCCAGGCTAGAGTGCAATGACGTAATCTCGGCTGACTGCAACCTTCTACCTCCTGGTTTCAAGTGATTCTCCTGCCTCAGCCTCCTGAGTAGCTGGGATTACAGGCACATGCCACCATGCCCAGCTAATTTTTGTATTTTTAGTAGAGACGGGGTTTCACCAGGTTGGCCAGGCTGGTCTCGAACTCCTGACCTCAGGTGATCCACCCACCTGGGCCTCCCAAAGTGCTGGGATTACAGGCTTGAGCCACTGCGCCCAACCTGCTTTCTTTATTTTAATTGGTTGTATCCTGATTTTCAAGAGACTATGAAAGAAAACCCATGCACTCATTTCAATATCTACAGCAAAGCATTTGACAAAACTCAACATCTTTTTGTGATGAAAATGCTCAGTAAACTAGCAACAAAAATAACTTTCCCTAACTAGACTAAAGGCATTTATTAAAAACTTACAGCTAACATCATATTTAATGGTGAAAAATTGTGTTTCTCTTTTTTTTTCTTTTGTTTTTTGTTTTTTGAGACAGAGTCTTGCTCTGTCGCCCAAGCTGGAGTGCAGTGGCGCGATCTTGGCTCACTGCAAGCACCGCCTCCCAGGTTCACGCCATTTTCCTGCCTCAGCCTCCCGAGTAGCTGGAACTACAGGCGCCCGCCACCACACCCAGCTAATTTTTGTATTTTTAGTAGAGACGGGGTTTCACCGTGTTAGCCAGGATGGTCTTGATCTGACCTCGTGATCTGCCCGTCTTGGCCTCCCAAAGTGCTGGGATTACAGGCGTGAGTCACCACGCCCGGCCGAAAAGTTGTTTTTTTCTTACAACTCAGAATAAGGCAAGAATGTTTGCTTTCACCATTTCCACTTAATATTGTATTGGAGGTTATAGTCAATGCAATAAGGCAAAGAAAAGGAAGAGAGGGAGGGAGGGAGGCAAGGAAAAAAGGAAGGAAGAAAAAATGTGACGTAGATACACAATGAAATACTATTTGACCATAAAAAAGAAGGAAATCATGTCATTTGTAGCAACATGGAGGTTGCTATATTAAGTTAGATAGGCACAGGAAGACAAATACCACATGTTCTCGCTCACATGAGAGTGCTAAAGAACACTGATACCATAGACATAGAGAATACAATGATATATACCAGAAACTGAGAAGGGTGATGGGTGGATGAAGAGAAGTTGGCTAATGGGTACAAACACACAGTTAGATAGAAGAGATACATTTTAATGTGTCTTTTTTTTTTTTTTCCTTTTTGTGGAGACAAGTCTCCATACGTTGCCCAGGATTGTCTCAAACTCCTGGGCTCAAACAGCTCTCCCAGTTTAGCTTCCTAAAGTGCAGAAATTACAGGTGTGAGCCATTGCACCCGGCAAGTTCTAATGTTTTGTAGCATGATAAGGTGACTATACTTGGGTGACAATATTTTGCTATTTCAAAGGAACTATTAGTAGAAGAGAGGACGTGAAATGATACCAACACATAGAAATGACATATATCCCAAGGTGATAGATACCCCAGTTACCCTGACTTAATCATCACCCATTCTATGCATGGAAAAAACACTCACATGTACCCCATAAATTATGTAAAATATTATATATTATTTTTTATTTATTTATTTATTTTTTTGAGACGGAGTCTCGCTCTTTCGCCCAGGCTGGAGTGCAGTGGCCGGATCTCAGCTCACTGCAAGCTCCGCCTCCCGGGTTCACGCCATTCTCCTG